TCAATTTCTCTTTCTATATTATCATTTTTTGGTTTGGCGGATTTGTCATGAAAGAAACAACTCTCTCCAATATCAACATCCTGAAAAGGTAATTCCTGCCAACATTTCAAACAATTTGGGTCATTACACGAATGGGGAACTAATGTATTTCTTACTTGTTGTTCTTGTGTTTGTTGATTATAATCTTGTAATAGAGTGTTTTGTGTGTTATACACTTTCAGTTGTTGTTCTTGTTGAAGTTGAGTCATGAGAATTTGATTTAAATATTCAGTACTTTCATAATTTAAGTGGTCTTCACTATTATCGTCACTATAAATTGCATTTTCAGAGCAGCTGTCATACTCGTCAATGTCATTTTCGTTTGGCAAAAAAATTGGCTCGTCATTTTTATTTAAAGTTCTATATAGTTCAAAACGTAAAAATAGAAAAAGTGACTTATTTTTAAAAAAACGAACTTGATATTTTTTATCCAGTTTTCACTTCGTAAGGTTAATTTACAAATTATTTATTATTTTATTGAACACACAATTATTTATCATTTTGATTAAACCCACCATAAGAACAATTCACTGACATTTTTGGTCTTTTGATTATATTTGAATTGAATCATTAACAAAATTCAAAATTATGGGATTATTTTTATATAATTTAATTAAATAGAAACAATTAATAAATTAAAAATAAAAACATATAAAATTACAATAATTTACAAGAGACGTTGAAAACATATATTTGGATTTTGAACATTATTTATCATTTTTAAGGTTGTCTTTGGATATAAGGCGTTTTTACAATAAATTTTGAGTATTCAAGGTCTCAAAAAACTACTAAACACCTTTAGTTTATAATGTACAATTTGTAATGTAAATATAGTATTATAATATATGATACAAAATATTAAATATTTTAATTGTTGACTAAGAACAATTTAATTTAAAAAATGAAAATGCCAATTACAGCATTCAAAAAATCAAGTATTGTGTTTCAATAATTTTTAACATGCTCTTTACTTTGTTCATTAAATTTATTGTCCTGTATTTAAAAATTGTTAAAGATAATTTTATTATTATAATACACATAACTCAAAATATACATATTTAATTTAAGTATTTGATAATGTTGTAAATTATTGATTATTTTTTAATACAATCAGTTTTGCAAATTAATGAAGTAACCTTCGATATAAAAACTTTTATTCACTTTTGAAAATACAGTTGTATTGTAAAAAACACAAGTAATTTATTTGTGATATTTGAACATAAAACTATCTCTAATGGTTTTTTATGATTAAAACTTGTTTTGAAAACAAATTTATTCTTATGATGAAAAATATTGTGTTTTAAAATTATTTAAACTTTGTGTGCTAATAAAAATGAAAGGTAGTTTTTGTGTATTGAAAAGAAAACATCAAATATCACTGGATAACGTTTCCAATCCACAAAGTACGTTATAAATAAACTGTTTTCCAAAAGTCGGTACCGAAATTACCCCAATATTTGCTAAATAAACAACCCATTTTTTTCTTTTCTTTTACCTCTGTTTTTTATTCATTTTTCTTCGTCTTATTTTTCAAATAACTGTCTTCCACTTTTATCTTTTCTCGAACAAACAAAATATTCGCATTATTTTTCCCTCCAAATTTCTAAATAACTTTCTTCAACGAAAAAAAGACTTGACAAAATAATCGATTTTGCCGAAAAGTTAGAAACATTAATTTTGAAACCCAAAACAATTTGAATAACAAAAAAAACTAAATAATCATGTCTAAACCAAGAAAAAGTTATGAACGCGAGCAAGAAGGGAAGAATGAGAGGGTCAAGATGGCTTTGGAAAGAGGACTGTCATATCGCGAGATCCAACTGCTTTGTGGAGTTTCCAAAACAAAAATAGCTAGTATCAAAAGGGGAGAGGAGACAAAGCCAAAGAAGATGGGAAGACCAAAAAACATCAGTGTTAATGTTGCTCAAAGTGTTGTCACACGAACATTAACTAACCCATATTCTTCTTGTCTTATGGTTTCCAACGATGTTAAAGTTTCTCTTTCAAGTGTCTATCGTCTTAGAAAAGAGAACAAATTTGTGTTTGCAAAGCAGAAAAAAATGCCGGCTCTGAAACCATTACACATAACAAAAAGACTTATTTTTGTTAAGAAACAGCTGGCAAACGCAAAGCGTATTTTGACGTGGACCAAAAACACTCTCATTTCCGACGAGAGTCGTTTTTGTTTATACTCTGACGGAAAATATGTTTGGAGAAGACGTGGAGATCTTGATAAGGAGGCGTTTGTGCCAACTCCCAAGTTCAATCGGGGTGTGATGGTGTGGGCAGCAATTGGGCGTCATTTCAAGTCAAAACTCGTTTTCGTCGACGGAACACTGAACGCGGTAAACTATCAAAAAATGTTGGCCGAATCAAGAGTGTTTGAAAACGCGAAGAAGGTGTACAAACACGGGATGGTGTTTCAACAAGATGGTGCAAGACCCCACACAGCGAAAAACACAATTGAATGGTTTGAAGGCTTGGACCCGAAGCTCATGGTTCGACTACTGAAAGAATGGCCTGCAAATAGCCCCGACCTCAGCCCAATTGAACACTTATGGCAATACTTGGACACCTTAATAAGAAAAGAAAAGGAAATCTTCGAGAACATTGAAGAACTCAAAGAGGCTCTTGAAAGGGCTTGGGATTCAATACCTCTTGAGACAATTGATAACTACATAATGTCGATTCCAAAGAGGTTTGAATTGTGCAAGGAAAACAACGGCGAATTTATCGGACACTTGCTTTAATCCGTTATCATTTTTTTATTTTTTTCTTTTTGAACTCGTTTTATCATTTCTTTGTTCGTCTTCAGAGGATGTTTGTTTTTTTATATGTATTCAAATTGTTTTCATTATTTTGACTCGAAAAGAAATAACTGTCTTAGAAAAATTGCAAAAGACTTCCCAACGTTTCGACAAATGCCCGAAAAATTACGAAAATAATATAATTTGTTTGTTTTTTTAGGTCAAAAAAGTCGGTACCGTTTTTTGTTTTTTTTAAAAAGATAAATAATAAAACAAAGTCTTTAATAACAATAAAACGGGAAAACAGCTAATAATAGTTTCTCAATTTTTAGCGGTAGTACTTACTTTTGAAATACAGTTTAGATTAATGAATTAAAGAACCACTTTTTTGATTTCCTTGACATCAAACAGAGCATTTATTGTTTTGTCGTTCATGTTGCTTTTCAAAATATTTTTTATTCGAGAAAATGATCTTTCGACAGTACATGATGTAACTTTTAAAGCTTCAACTTTTTGTGAATAATCCAACAACAATGGAAACAATGCAAGATCACTCTCGCTCATTTGGCTGAAAACCAAAAACGAGGTCACATTGTGAGTTATGATGAAAGTTTCTTTTAATTGGATTGCCCTTTGTTCCCTCGAATTTTGTATTTCCGCCGCCAGAATTTTCGAATTTTGATTTTTGAACTCAATAAACAAACACTGAGGTTAATTATCTTTCCGAAATTATTCAGAAAAAAAGAGTTTTTTTGAATGATTAATTGTTGTTTTTATTGAGTAAAAGATTTTTTATGAAATAGTAAAATTATTTAAAAGAAGTAATAATTTTTTTGGAGATAAAAACCCGTTATATTACGTTTACCACATTTCAATTATCTGCTGAATTACAACGGTATATTCGGCAAATATTAATATTTTTCTTCAACAATTGGATTTCAAATGGTTTTGCTTCTTTTGTGTTCCTAAAAAATGTTTGTTGCAAAAACTACAAAAAACAATATAATTTTGGTCAAAAAATCAGATTAATCCAAAAATAAGCTGCAATTTTGGGACTGGACGATTTAGTAAACAGGCTTTTGATTAACCATGCTAGGACATCATACAGAGTTAAAAATGAGCCAATCCAAATATATTGGAAGCTTTCAAAAAAAGCTTGCTTCAAGAGAATATACCTACGCCTTTTTTTCGTCTGAAACCTGAGTCTACAAATATTTCCGTTCAAGTCTGTTTGGGTGAGTATGTTCAAATCAAAAAAAAATTCATTTGACTTGTAATAAATATGTCTATTCCATCATCAAATTTAGCACATCTGAAGATATCGAGAATGTCTTCGGGAACTATTCTGGAATCAAAGAAGAAATTGGCACCGAGAAATTTAGTGTTAAACAATACAAAGAGGAAACAGAAAAAAGTTTGGATGTGATAATAAAAAAAATCCACGACTTAATTGCAAATTCAGAATTTTTCGAGTACTTCAAATCGTTTGGAAACATCAATAATTTCAACCTCTCGGAAATCAACCCAAATTTCAACGCCAAAGTGTTGCGTGTGGAGTATTTTGAAGAAAATGACGCGAAAACTTTAATTGAAGAAGTCGATGTGAATGATGTCTTTAATTGTGACTGCCCCTTTCAGCTATTTTTATGGACAGAAAGAATGACATTATCACAATGGTTAACAACACATACTACAACAACAGAAAAGGTGTTGAAAATAGTTCGAAAAACGACAATTTATTTTTTATTGACTCAATCAACAAGATCAAATACATTAATTAACTTTATTTATTTTGTTTGATAATATGTTGTTTATTTATCAATCGTAACTTAAAACTTAAATATATAAATTTGATTGTATTTTAATATCAAAATCGACAATGAATGTTTTTTGCTTTGTTTTTCATGTTAAAACTTCAAAAAACTTATCAAATATACCATATACAATTTACGCAATCAGGTTATCATTACTTAAAGAGTTCATATGACACAAATAATAAATGAACAATATTTTTCATGCACTTTTGATTCTCATTTTGGTTGGATATAAGATAATAGTAAGTGTTATTAGAAAAAAGTAAATTTTTAATAACACTTACAATTAAAAGCCTTGTGAATAGTTAATTCAACAATTAATTGATTGTTTATTATTGAATATAATTAAATTATAGTTTTAATTTACTATAAATATAAATATTATAGATTTATCGTTGAATTACTCTGAAAAACTATTGATCTGCTTTTGTATTCTGTTGGTTCGCTTGTTGACTATTTCGACCATTCTTTCGTTTTGATTTCCTTCTTCTAAATGATTGTTAACGTCTTCGTCTATTTTCACTATACTGTTACACACTTGATCGAAGGAAGGGCGATCTTTAGGGTCAGCTCTCGAGCATTCCTCAACCAAGTTTTTATATAGCGGTGGGATGTTTTGATCAAAAGAGAGTCTTTTTCCTTCTTCGACGTGTCTTTTGATTTCGAATATCGACTTGAGTTGTGCATATGGTTCGACTTGGTAATAGAGTTCCCACGCTGTTATAGCAAATGAATAGACATCACCAGCAAAAGTGTATTCGTCTTTGAAAGTCTCTGGTGCGGCATAGATAGGTGTGCCAAGTCCCTTGTCTTCGCTGTTAGTAATTGATTTCTTAGTGAATCGTGATGTTCCAAAGTCTGTGATTTTGATAGAGCAGGCACTGTTACAATCAAGTGAGTTGACTAATAAATTGTCAGGCTTCAAGTCTAAGTGCATGATTCTGTTCTCGTGAAGAAATTGCATTCCACGTGATGTGTCAAACAACATCCGCACTTTCAATTTGTATGGGATCTTGACATAGTCCTCTTTCTCTTGTCGCAGATATTCCCCAAGTGAGCCAAGAATGAAGAATTGGATAACCATCGACACTTGTGGGATGTATGTCACTGACCCCATGTAACTTGCTATAAATGGATTCCGCAGTTTTCCCATGATCTCACACTCGGTAATAACATTCCTCTTCAATTCAGCTACTTCTTCTTCATTCAAATTCTCCCATCGAAACTGCTTCACAGCAACAGGAACACTTCGGTAATTCCCCATATAGACTCGTCCCATCGCTCCTTCTGCTATTGGCTTCTCTGAAATAGAAAGTTCATCCATATCAATATGTGTCGAACTTGCCGCGTCTGTAGTCATAATTAAATTGTGGTGGTATTTTTTTAAGACGCTTTTTGAGAGTTTGTCCATATATTTTTGGTCAGAATTATTCCATGTCTCAAAGTTCTTGTTTTCTAACAACAGAGCTATTTCATTGAGAGTTCCACGACTTTGAGAAAACCAAACAGTGTATGGGATCTTCATCCCTTTCAACTTGGTTGTACAATATATTGTCATATAACATGTGACGATACGACTTGCTCTTGGTTTGAGTATCACAACTTGTGGATCAAAGTGGAACACGTATTTTGGACTATTTAGTGTGTGAAATATGATCATCATATATTTGTTTCTACTTCTATTTTTAATATCAATTTTCTCAAATCTTGTGTCCATTATAGCAGTCGCACTGTTTGGATTGCCAAAGTCAAGTTGTTCTGGTTCAACTTCAAATTTGGATTCTTTATTTGGTTCACAATTGACAGAGCCATTGATATAATAATGGAATGTTGGTTGTTGTTCTTTGAACACTTCTATGTCTATCTGTTTGTAATTAATAAATAATAGAATAACTGTTATAATGGTAGTCGTTGAAATAACAACAAATACACTTCCTCCAATAACAATACCAGCTATAACTCCTCCACCAATTGATTTGAGTTTACATGAAGTATTATTATCAGGGTTGGTGATATATCCTTCTATACAAGTACACTCATCATTACAGTTCACACCACTATCACACTACAATTAAGTTTATTATTAATTATTAATTTAAAACAATACAATTAATAGTTTGTTAATAATTGTTAAATGTAATACAACTCGTATAACAAAAGAACAAACTTCTTCTTCTTTGAAACTATTTGTACCCCAACGAATTTGATCAATTTTATTATTTCCACAATTTATGGATTGACACTTTAAAGATGTCTTATTATAGAAAAACCCATTTGCAGTGTCACAGTAACAATTTTGAGCACACCCATATTCACTTCGTTTGCACTCTTCAATATCAAGTTTGTTGTTATCATGACAAGAATTTGACACACACAAATTGTTTTGGAGAGTATGCCCGCTTTCACATTTACAATACTGATCACACTTGTTTGATCCAAAGTAACACAAATTATCGTGATCTTTGATTTGCCAATTGTCATGATAATAACACAACAAATGACAATCATCTCTTAATGTTAGAATAATTATAATAATTATAATTATATTATTATAGATATAATCATTGATATTATTACAATTATTATTATTATTTAACAACAAACCCACCATATCCACTCTTGCAAAGACACCTCGCTTCACTTGAGAGACATTCTCCTTGACCATTCTCTGCATAACAATTATTTGGGCAAATGACTTGATAAGTAAATAGAATCTCTGAGTAATAATCTTGTGTAACAAGTGAATATTTCTGTTCGTTTTTGTCTCCTCGTACTCTAACTGATAACCCATCTTGTTCAGATTCAAGCATCGACATCTTAGTGCCACTCCACATTGAGACACACACTGCTGTTAAAGTATCATTGGTGAATATAATTTTATTCAAATGGAGGTAATTCACTTTATTTGATCTTTTAGTAGAGAGGAGGAGAGAGTAATTTCCATTAAAAGTGATAGTAAAAACAACAAGTTTTGAAAGAAAAGTCGGCATACAACTTGGAAAGAAAAACATTCCAATGGAGTCAAACGACAATTTCAATTCTTTAACAAGCGACAAATTCTTAGCCATTTCATCTGTTTCTTTTTGTGATATGATTGTCGTGTTATCTCTTATTTGTGCTAATGAAAAAGATACTGTAAACGTTGCATTAACTGTTTTTAAAGTGTCTGTTGAGATGAAGAACGTGAAGAAGATTATTTCCTTGCCATTGACATAATTTCCAGGAAAGAAGTTTCCCTTGATTAAGACATTACTTGATGACTTAGATGATGTGGCGTGTGCTAAACACTTCCCATACTTCTCATCTCTTTTGGAGTTTGACATATCAATTGATATGATAACATCACTGTCCTTCTCCACAACGGCTAACAGAAATCTATTTGTGATATCAGTCATGTTAATTTTGAACCATTTACCCACTCGGTATTTCATTGGGTATCGACAAAAACTGTAATCAAGTGGCGTTTCAGAATCAAATGAAATGATATTTGGGATTCCTGGGAAGATTTCTTGGATGTACTGATCGTCAGGAATCCATTTATCTTTCTCTAATATTGAATTTGACTTAAGACACTGCCCTTCTGAATTTTTAAGATATGCCACCGGGTTTAATGCACTTGGTGAACTCCATTTACACGAGTTACAAGTGTGGTCGTCATCAAATGTATCTGAGCATGTTGTATTACAAGTGTAGTCTGCCATACATGAAGAACAGCCTTTTGAACACAAAAAACTTGAAGAAAGTGGCACTAAAAGGATGAAAAGAATACAACGCATATTACTCTATCTTGACTATGAGAGTTAATCGACCTTTATATATACGAAAAACATAACAAATTAATGAAACGAAATTAACAATAAAATTTAAAATAACACTGTTTAAATGGATTGAAAAATTGTTGTCTGTGTTATTTGAATTTATATGTTATGGTAATTATATAAACTATATTAATAATAGTTTATTTAAAATAAAAAAGCATTTTTTTTAATTGCATTATTCATTTCTATGACATACAATAATCTCCGTTCGTTTGTTCTTTTCAACAATTATTCGGGATTTAAAGTATTATTTGAACAATTTTTAGATTCTATTTGATTGAATCTGATGTTTGTTTAATTACTCCTTTGTTTATTAACGTATTGCTTTTGATTATTTGTACAAATTTGTGGAATGTTCAACAATTTTTTTAAAATAGACACTCACAATTTTGTAATATTTCATTTTTTTATTTAAAGTTTGTTTCATTTTAACTAATGTATATTAATTATATATTATTAATTATTAGTTTATTCTTAATTTTCTTTTTCATAACGGAGATTTGTGGTTAAAAATTTATTTATAATAAATAATAAAATAAACTATAATTTATGATTATAAAATTTTTATACTTACTATATAAAATTAACAAATATTTAGTTTAAAATATTATATGTTTTGACAAAAAAACCCAAAATATGTTTTAATATTATTATAATAAATCTTATTAATATAAGTATTGTTAAATTTAACTATAATCAACTATATTAAATTCCATCAGATTTATTAAATGTTATATTATTGTTATTCAAAAGTCTCTTTTATCTTCTTAACTCAAAACTATATTATAGGATAATAAAAACTATTTTATAATAACAAGTTTAATAGAAATGTTTTTAAAAACTGAACTATAATAATTTAGAAGGAGAATGTCGCGGACAGTGATGCCGCCCGAACACATAAGGAAAATAGTGAAAGACCATGGGGATATGTCCAGTCGCAAATTCAAGTGTGACAAACGTGTTTATTTAGGTGCGCTTAAATATATCCCGCATGCTATTTATAAGTTATTAGAGAACATCCCAATGCCTTGGGAAGACATTAAAGAGGTTGAAGTGATGTACCACATCACTGGTGCGCTGACATTTGTCACTGAAATTCCTCGAGTCATCGAGCCCGTGTACTTTGCGCAGTGGGGGACGATGTGGCTTGCAATGCGAAACGAGAAAGTCAACAGGAAGAATTTCCGGCGAATGGTTTTGCCTGTTTTTGATGATGAAGAGCCTCCCCTTGATTATTCGGATAACTTGTTAGACGTCGACCCGATATCTCCAATCAAGTTTGAATTGGATGGGATGGAAGACTCTGCAGTGATTGATTGGTTATACGATAATAAGCCCCTTTATAACACCAAAAACGTGAACAAGTCCTATCGAAAGTGGACGCTGAACATTCCACAGATGGCGACCCTCTATCGACTCTCAGAAAGACTTTTAGGAGACTCGAATGATCGCAATTACTCATTCCTGTTCAACAAAGAAACTTTCTTCACTGCAAAAGCGTTGAATTGCACAGTCATTGGTGGACCGAAATTTGAACCTCTTTATCGCGATAATTTGGACGACGCGGATTGGTCTGATTTTGACGACGTCAATAAGGTGATCATCAGAAGAGTCATTCGAACAGAATACAAGATCACATATCCTTATTTGTACGCACAACGACCAAGAGAAGTCAAGGTCATCCCTTATCACTACCCACTGTTGATGCTCATCAAGCCCGATGACCCCAATTTACCGACGTTTTACTTCGACTCGATATTAAATCCGATTCAGAGTCGAATGGATCTTGAAGGAGACGTGAAAGAAGACGTTAGTGATGACACTGAATATGACGACGTTGAATTTTATTCGGATATCATACCATTTGGAGAAGACATCGACTTGAATGGAAGCCAATTCAAAGACGGACTGAATCTGTTTAACGCTCCAAGTCCATTCAACGAGAGAAGAGGAACAATGCGACGCGCACAAGACGTCGCTTTAGTCAAGAGTTGGTACCAAGAACACATTCCAAAGGAGTACCCCATCAAAGTGCGGGTCAGCTATCAAAACTTGTTGAAGTGTTTTGTATTGAACGAGTTACACAAGCGGCCATCGAAGTCGTTGTGTAAGAGAAACTTCTTTACTGCGCTTGAAACAACACAATTCTTCTATCACACAAAACTCGATTGGGTCGAGGCGGGGCTCCAAATAGCACGGCAAGGGTATAACATCATGAATTTATTGGTCCATCGAAAGAACGTTGATTTCTTACATTTGGACTACAACTTCAATATCAAACCGGTCAGAACGTTGACAACAAAAGAGAGGAAGAAGTCGCGATTTGGGAATTCGTTCCACTTGTGTCGAGAAATACTGAAAATGATGAAGTTGGTAGTCGACGCGTTTTGCCAGTACCGACTGGGACACGCAGACGCATTCATATTAGCCGATGGGGTTCAGTACATCTTCTCACATATAGGAACCCTCACTGGGATGTATAGATACAAGTATAAAGTGATTCAACAGATCCGGATGTGTAAAGATCTTAAACACGCGATTTACTATCGATTTAATACAGGCCCCGTCGAGAAAGGGCCAGGGGTAGGGTTCTGGGGGCCGATGTGGCGAGTGTGGGTGTTTTTGTTACGAGGGATCATTCCGATCTTGGAACGGTGGTTGGGGAATTTACTTGCGAGGCAATTTGAAGGAAGAAAGTCGAAGGCGACGCCGAACACGAGAACGAAGCAACGCGTGGAGAGTGGGTTTGATATAGAATTGCGAGCGGCGGTGTTACATGAGATCAATGAAATGATGCCTGAGGGTATTAAAAACTCCAAAGCGAAGGTTATCATGCAACATTTGAGTGAGGCGTGGAGGTGTTGGAAAGCGAATATTCCATGGAAGGTTCAAGGGTTACCTGAGCCGATAGAAAATATGATTGTTCGCTATGTAAAAAAGAAGGCTGATTGGTGGACTGATGTAGCGCATTATACTCGTGAGAGGACGAAGAGGGGATGTACTGCTGATAAATCAGTGACGAAGAAAAACGTTGGAAGATTGACACGACTTTGGCTGAAGAGTGAACAAGAGAGGCAAAGTGAGTACTTACGAGAGGGGCCATATGTATCTTCAGAGGAAGGTGTTGCGATATTGACCACTACAGTACATTGGCTTGAAGGGATGCAATTCCAACCGATTCCTTTTCCGCCAAGTAACTACAAATATGACACGAAAATCCTTGTGTTGGCTTTGGAGAATTTGAAAGAAGCGTTTTCGACGAAGTCGCGAATTAATCAGAGCCAAAGAGAGGAGCTTGGCCTCATCGAACAAGCGTTTGACAATCCACATGAGTTCTTATTGAGAATCAAAAGACAGCTCTTAACACAACGAACGTTCAAAGAAGTCAATTTGGTGTTTGTTGATATGTTCACACATTTACTCCCCGTTTACTCATTTGACGCTATGGAAAAGATAGCGGACGCGTATTTGGACCAGTATCTGTGGTTTGAAGGAGACAAGCGAAATTTGTTCCCCAACTGGGTCAAACCGGCCGATACGGAGCCACTGCCACTGTTAGTCTACAAGTTTTGTAATGGGATGAACAATTTAGAAGACATTTGGGAGACGCGAAATGGGGAGTGCAATGTCATAGTTGAGTCGTCATACGACAAAATGTTCCGAAAAGTCGATTTGACGCTTTTAAATCGACTTCTACGACTTGTGATGGACCCACTTCTTGCTGATTACATCACTGCGAAGAACAATGTGACGATTGCGTACAAAGATATGATGCATGTGAACTCATATGGCCTATTACATGGTCTTGCGTTCTCAAGTTTTGTGATTCAGTACTACGGCCTTGTACTTGACATCTTGTTACTTGGGCCGAAACGAGCGATGGAGATAGCGGGGAGTGCGTCTGCGCCAAATGATTATCTCACGTTTAAGACGAAAAGTGTTGAGACAAACCACCCCATTCGGATGTACACGAGGTACGTCGACAAGTTCTATATGGTGCTTCGATTGACGAGAGAAGAAAGTAACGAGTTGATAGAACGAATGTTAGTCGATCGCCCCGATCCGAATAATGAGAACGCTGTTGGGTACAATAACAAGAAGTGTTGGCCTAAAGACTGTCGTATGCGATTGATGAAACATGACGTGAATTTGGGACGTGCAGTATTTTGGGACTTACAAAACCGTCTTCCACGATCACTGACTACAATGAAGTGGGAAGACTCGTGTGTCACTGTCTATTCACAAGATAACCCGAACACGTTATTTACGATGTGTGGGTTTGAAGTGCGTATATTGCCGAAGTGTCGAGCGAATGAGGAGGAGTTTAGTATGCGAGAGGATGCGTGGGAGTTACAAAACAGTGAGAGTATGGAAAAGACAGCGCACGCGTTTTTGAAGGTATCGAATGAAGAGACGAAGAAGTACGAGAATCGTGTGAGACAGATTTTGTTGTCGTCTTCTTCAACGACGTTTACACGTATTATAAATAAATGGAATACAACATTGATTGGACTGATGATGTACTTTAGAGAAGCGACAATACACACGCCGGAGCTTTTGGATATCTTGGTGAAGTGCGAGAACAAGATCCAGACGCGCGTCAAAATTGGGTTGAACTCGAAGATGCCCAACCGGTTTCCCCCCGTCGTCTTTTACACGCCAAAGGAACTTGGAGGGCTTGGGATGCTCTCGATGGGCCACGTCTTAATTCCCCAATCTGATTTTCGATGGACAAGACAGACGGAAGTTGGGATTCAAGCGTTCCGAGCCGGGATGAGTCATGACGAAGACCAGTTGATCCCGAATTTGTTTAGATACATATTACCATGGGAGACCGAGTTTAAAGACTCGCAACGGGTGTGGATGGACTATGCTGAAAAGAGGAAAGAAGCGATGGAAGAAAACCGACGCCTTACTCTTGAAGACTTGGAAGACTCGTGGGATAAGGGGATTCCACGTATAAACACTTTGTTCCAACAAGACAAACACACATTGGCGTATGATAAAGGGTGGAGAGTTAGAATGGAGTTCAAGAAGTATCAAGTCGACAAGATCAATCCATTCTGGTGGACCCACCAGAGACATGACGGGAAGTTGTGGAATTTGAATAACTATAGAAGTGACATGATACAAGCGTTGGGTGGTGTGGAAGGCATTTTAGAGCACACGCTGTTCAAAGCTACGTTCTTCCCGACGTGGGAAGGACTCTTCTGGGAGAAGTCGTCAGGGTTTGAAGAGTCGATGAAGTACAAGAAGTTGACCAACGCGCAGCGCAGTGGTCTGAATCAAATTCCAAACCGCCGATTTACACTGTGGTGGTCGCCGACGATTAATCGTGGGAGTGTGTATGTCGGCTTTGAAACGCAATTGGACTTGACGGGGATCTTCATGCAAGGGAAGATCCCGACATTAAAGATATCACTGATTCAAATCTTCCGCGCACATTTGTGGCAGAAGATTCACGAGAGTCTTGTGATGGATCTGTTCCAAGTTTTCGATCAAGAGAGTGAGAGTTTGGACGTCGAGAGAGTGCAGAAGGAAACGATTCATCCTCGGAAGTCGTATAAGATGAATACGTCGTGTGCTGATATCACGTTGTTTGCGATGAACTCGTGGGAGACGGGGAAGGCGTCGATGTTAACTGAGAATAAAGTAGCGAGTGGGATCAGCACGAACAAATATTGGATTGATGTGCAGTTGAGGTGGGGCGATTTTGATCAACACAATATCGAGAGTTATGCGCGACAGAAATATGAGAGTTATTCGAATGATAACAACTGTTTGTACCCCTCGAAGACGGGAGTTATAATAGCGTTTGATTTAGCGTATAATATTTACTCTGCATATGGGAATTGGATACCGGGGATGAAAGATTTGTTGACAAAAGCGCTAGCGAAGATGTTAAAGTGTGATATTGCGTTGACGGTACTTCGGGAGAGGATACGAAAAGCGTTACAGTTGTATTGTAGTGAGCCGACAGAGCCTTGTTTGTCGACGACGAATTATGGGGAGTTGTTTAGTAATCAAATTGTGTGGTATATTGATCACTCGAATGTCTATCGCGTCACGACACACCGCACATTTGATGGGAATCATATCACAAAACCGTTGAATGGGTGTGTCTTTATTATTAATCCTCGTACTGGTGGAGTTTATTTGAAGATTATACATGCGAATGAATGGGCTGGACAGAAGAGAATTGGGCAGTTGAAGCATTGGAAGTCTGCGGAAGAAGTAGTGAAGATCATAGGAAGTCTTCCCAAAGAAGAGCGACCGCGGAGTGTAATAGCTTCATTAAAAGGTCTTATAGACCCTCTCGAGACGCATTTGATAGATTTCCCAAGCATCGTCTTAAAAGGGACTGAAATGGCGTTACCGTTCAATGAAGTGATGCATATGGAGAAAGTCAATTCTGCGGTATCGAAAGCGACTGAGTCGAGTCTACTGTTATTTAATATCTATGACGACTGGTTGGAGAACAGTAGTGCGTATGTGGCCTTCCACCGAGCTGTTTTAATGTTACGGGGGTTAGGAGTCAATGCGATGAAAGCCAAAAAGATCTTACAACCAGACCCGACGATCGTTGTTGCTCCAAATCATCACTGGCCGACATACAGTGACACGCAGTGGAAAGAAGTTGAAATTAAGATGAAGGATTTGATCATTAATGACTACGCGAGAAAGAATAACATCAACGCGTCGTCGTTAACACAGAACGAAGTGCGAGATATCATTCTTGGTGTAGAAGTAGCTGCGCCGTCCGTTGAAAGACAGCAAATAGGAGAAATAGATGGTGAGAGGACGACACAAGGGAATGCGATCACCACGAAGACGATGAATAAACTGCAAGAGAAGATTGTTGTGTCGACGACAACACCGTACGAACAGAATGTTTGTGCTGCGACACAGAACTGGAGAGAGCGTGCTATTGAAGCTGGGAAGTTATATGAGAGAGTCAGTTCGTTGTTTGTATCGACTCAAGGAGAGACGCCTCCAATAGTTCTTCCCAAGAATTTGATGACGACGTTGGTGAGGATAGCAGACACTAAAACTGAGATAGGAGGGATTCTGTATGGGAAAGAGAGTGTTTCTAATGCGGGGGTGTATGAAGTCAAGTGTATATGTATGACGCCGCAGTACGGAACAAATAAATACGTCGTCTTTCCGGATCACCCGCCACGCAGTGACGAGATTGATTCGTTGCAAGCACTTGGGTGGATTCGAACGAACTGTGGGGAGCCTGAGATGTCGTCGTATGATGCAGTGGTTGATAGTATTATTGAAAGCAAATATAAGATGAGTGGGAAGATCATCTGTGTTGGGATAGGGAATGGGAGTATAGGAGTCCATGGGTATGTTGTGAGTGAAGTTGGGAAGGAATATGGGCGGCAGAACATTGAGAGTCTGACAAACATGCAGAATGTCGCTGGTGGAAAGTTAGCTGATGACGTTCCTGTTATCGTCACAGAGAAATTGAATGGGTTCTTCTTAATACCAGACAGAGGAAGTTGGAACTATTCACTGGCAACTACTAAGTTCTCTTTGGGACTCCAATACGGTCTTAAAATTGGAATACCTCTCGAGTTCTATAATGAAGAACATAGGAGCACTCACTTCTTGTCTTGGGCTGAAGTCGATGAAAGTACTCTTGAGAGAGAAGAAATGGCAGATGAACCAGATAATTGAGGGGATTGGGTTAAACTCGATTTGTACCGTCATGGCGTAACGGAGAATTTTGATTATTGTTTTATACAGGGGCAATATATAACCGCTTCCTATCGTTACAATAGTTTAAAATAATAAAATTATAATAAAAAGTATAATACAAATTACCACCTTAAACAGAAAAAGTCTCCACAGGCATTTTCAGCCTTCATAATGTACCATACATTTTATTATATTAATATTATTCAAATCTATAAAATCAAATATATATAAAAAATATTATTTTTTGAAAAGACCCGTCATAAGGTGACAAGATAGTTTGTAGTCTAAAAATAAAAGTTCAATTCTTCTTTCTTGTTTTGGTATTTTATAGTTTAAAATAGTAATGGAAATAGAATAATAAAACCAAAGACGAAATGAAGAATTGAAGATTGATCTGGCAGAACGAAAGAATTCTTAAGCGCAATGGGAACAAGACAGTCCAACGTTGCACAAACGTACTCTCTTAACAAGGATATGTTCTACGACTTCGAGGTCATTGATTTCAAAACTTCAAAGTACCGTTTCAAGGTCAACGGCTCAAATTTGTTTGGTATAGAGCCTATGGACGCCGATTCGCAAGATGATGCTTTTGAGACTCGGGTGGCTAAACAAATCCAATCAGATACATTTGAAAAGACTTCAGATGTTTCTATTCAGAACAAAAATGCTGATAAATGTACCGACAAACAAACAAGTGGCGCATCACCTCCAGTTCAAGACCAAACACTTGGATTAGAGAGCTATTCTCCAGAAGTTGTATTTGAGTCACTTTCTGGAGGGACTGAGGGGATTGGTGTCGATGGTATCGCCAAATTGCTTTCACTTGTTGGCTTGACTGATATAACAGACATGCGTGTTGTGTGGGTCTGTTGGATATTCAAAATGAAAGATTTTAGAATTGAAAGAAACAATTACTTCGATGTGATGCGGAAATATTTGACATTCGAAAAACTCAAAAAAGCAATTCCAACTCAACCGTTGAGCGATCCGCAAACATTTTCGACACTTTTTGTGTTTTCTTTTTCGAGCAACTTGGATATTGGCGAGAAGCGCCTTCCTTTAGACACAGCAGTGGATTTGTTGCATCAATTTTATCCACAACCAAATACAAGAATCGACCAATTTGTCAATTATTTAACTACAACGAACAGACCAAATTTGACAAAAGATGAGTGGTCAAGCATTTTGCATTTGATGAAAGAAGTCAAACCGGATTATTCAAATTATGACATGGACTCATCTTGGCCGATACTGTTCGACGACTTTGTCAAGTCTTTGGGAAAGGAATGTAAGAATTGATTTGTTAATTGGTTTCACATTCACTTCATCTGGATGACAATTACTCGATCGATAGTTGTCTTCTCGGGGTTTGTCTTAAAGTCAGACCCAGTCAATGCGTCATCTTCCATCTCCTCATACACCTCACTCAGATTCCTACACGAACTCTCCTTCATCCCGACCTTCCACACCGTGAAAAAGCCATTCCCATTCCCCACAGAGTACAGCCTGTCGTCGTTTTCAAAGATGAAGATTCCAGACTCAACTTCAGTCTTTTTGAACCACCGAATTGGCTCACTGTATCTTCCGTTGGACTCGAGTGAAAGCACAAAGTGGAACCCGTCAATCACCCAATCATTGGTATATCCTATTTTCATGGGAACGAAGACTCCAAAAACATTTCCTTTATCGTCGTAATTTATAAAAAGCAAATTTGGGCGATTCAAAATCGAAGAAATAAAGGTGTCGTTTGTCTTTGGTGCGATGTTGGAATCGTACACAACATGACTCCATCCCAACTCAGTCCAGCTCGAGAGAAGTTTCATATTAGAAGCTATTTGTGAGTATTGTTGGTTACTTCTAAAGCTTCTCCGCATCGATGCACTTTGTTTTCCAAGACGTGGTGACAAATTGCCTGCAGACGACTCGTACGTCTGGCTTCTCTTTGACGTCATTATTTTTGAACGGTCGATTTTTTTGATTGGGTTCTTAACAATTGATTGTTCAATTGAACTTGTGGAGAGCTTTTTCATCTTAAACTCTGATAATTCTATTTCATGTGTTTCATTGATTTTCTCTTTGCATTGATTTTGTGAGGACGTCGAGACGTGACTCATTTCTTGCGTCTCTTCTGTTCTCTCGTCTTTTTCATCGAGTTTGGGAACTTTGAGAATTATCTTCTTTTCCGCTATAATTTTTTTCTCTTTATTTTCTTTGTCATTCCCTTTCATCAAACTCTCCGATCGTTTTACAGTGGTCGTACAAATGTCTTCCACAAGTGTTAAAAGTGTTTGGAGCACACTGCGGACTTCAAGACACTCCAACGCTCCTATTTGGTTTTGCAAAGTTGTTATAACTTCTTGTCGGTTCATATCTATTTCAAGTCCACGTTTTTAAGTTTTGCAACAAAGTTTGTTGTTTTTGGTGTGAATATCGTCAATCTTCTAGCAATATTTAACTATATTTTATAATAAAAATAAATATAAATTATGGTTGTTTTTTTAAAGTAATTAATTGTGGGTAATTATGTTTGTCTTATTATAGATATAATTATTAAATATTACTAAAGTTGTATGAACTTTTGTATTATATTTTGAAGTAATTTATTACAATGATGATTGTTTTTTATTACAAAAAACTATTTTTAATGTATTAATATTAGTAGTTATTGTTTTAATTTGGTTTTACTATACAATTAATAATATATATATTATGAATATATAGTATAAATACTCAAAACATATAAATAGTAACATGATACCAAATATAGAAAAAAAATACAATTATCTTTTCATCTACTATACATATTAGTATAAAAACTTATTAATTTTCAATATAATTATGATAATAATTCTAAAAACTAGTACAAAAAACTATTTCAACCCACTTTTCAATTATTTAATAAAAATATAGTATAATAATAGTATTACTATTCATATAAATGAACCAATAAGAAGTATTAAAATAGCGAAGAATTGAAGTAAACCAATAGTCGAATTACAAGATCCGTTCAAAAAGAGATCTAATAATGTGTTGTCTAAGAAAATAACTAGAAATGTTTTAAAAAAGAAACTTGGAATTCAAGTGATGATCAACTCAACAACACATTTTGTCTACAAGTCAAAACGACTCCTTGCAATCCCAATAAGTGACGCCCCGTTACCAGACAAAGTAATTTTCGTCGACTTAACGAACAACTTGTTGACAGTTTGTCTTCTGCGTTTTACTATATATTTATAGTATTTTTATTAGTAAAGTACTAACAAGTAGTGTGTGAAGGATATCATCGCATTCCCACAAACCACGACACTGCGGATTAATAAGAACAAATTAGAGTGCTTGTCCCCCGAAATCCGGTCTCTTTCGAATTTGAAGATTTTGGACTTCTCCTCAAATTACATCGAAACGATTCCCGTCGAGTTGAGTCTCCTCACGAACTTACAAGAACTCTCATTCGACCAAAACAAAGTGACAACATTTCCTATTGAGCTATCGACACTTGAAAATTTACAGAGACTCTACGTTTCAGCTAACTACCTCGACGCGCTCCCCCACACCTTGACGACATATACTAACTTGAGAGTAGTTTGTTCGTGCGCTCTTTTTACTATTAGTTATTAGTTTACAAACTATTATTTATAGAATTACTTGACAGTGTAGCTTGAGCTTGGGAATAACTCATTTACTAAGGTCCCGCGGTGCATCTCGTCGTTTCAAAGTTTGACGACGTTACATATGGACTATAATCGGATATCCCATGTGACCAAAAGCCTTTCGAGTTTGACGAATTTGTTATGTCTGACATTCAACAACAACAAGTTAGAGTCATTTCCGTCGTCTGTGTGCCGCATTCCGTCGTTGACGTCGTTAGAAATGAACTCGAACAACATTGTGAGTATCTCGCCGTCGATCAGTCTTTTGACGAACTTGAAGAGCTTCTTTGTCGACTCGAACAAACTGACGAGTGTTGCGAGTGAAATTACTCAACTGACGAAACTCAACACGTTTTCTATGGCGAACCACTTCTGTCGGGAATTACCGAATTTGTCGAGTCTGAGTAAAATGACGTATTTCAATTTTGGGAATGGGCGATTGAGTAAAGTTGAGGGGGTCTGTGGGTCGAATTGTTTACTTCGGTTGTATCAGAACCTCATAGAAAAGATCACCTTTGCGGACAACGGGACATTTGAGTTGATCGACTTGTCTAGCAATCGCCTGAACGAGTGCCCGAGCTTCTCGCAACTCCCAAAGTTGTTCAAGTTGGACTTGTCGAAGAACCGAATCTCAAATTTCACGATCTCGTCGATCCACAACATGTTAGTGTCCCTCGACATCTCATACAATTTACTCACGGACTTACCATCTCCCCTCTTTTTATGTTCAAATATTGTCAGCTTGAATATCTCGTGTTGTCGCGTGAAGAAGATCCCTAACGATATCTCGAAGTTGGTTCGTTTAGAACAATTTCTTGCCATAGACAACAAGTTAGAAGTGGTGAATGATAGTGTGACTTCTCTCACCCAATTGACGATGTTCTGCTTACAGTCAAATCGCCTTGAAACGTTCCCGGTGCCCATTCTGTTCATCCAGAATTTGAAGTATTTGTCCCTTGCAAATAACATGATCACTAACGTCCCAATGAACGTGACGGGACTGGACAAATTGGAGACCGTCGACATCTCCTGTAATAATTTGACTGAAGTGGGGCCGTTCGTGCAGTTACCGAATCTTCAAGACTTGAACCTTTCGTACAATTCTATAACAACTGTTCCGAGTAAGATCACTGAATTGAAGAGTTTGCACTCGTTGAATTTGATTGGAAATCAACTTGAGAAGATTTCACAGAATTTGTCGAATCAAAAGACGATAGCGCGGTTACAATATGGGAAGCAAAGTCGGAAGGGGAAAGTGATGAAAGAGAAGACGCAGCGGTCGACGTCGCCGTATGTGATTGCGCCGTCAATAGATTTAGAGAAAGTCTCTCTTCTGACGATTCCTGAGAAGTGCCAGTACTTTCAATCAGTCGAAGTGTTGAGTACTCCGACTTTAGTATTATCTGAGATGCAAGGGCGTCGTGTAGATATGCAAGACAGCGTCTGTTTAGTGCAAAATTTCTGTGGGAAGGGGTATCACTTGTTATCATTATTTGATGGGCATGGGGGTGCAGAGACTGCGAGGTTATGTACTGCGATGTTTCCTTCGATCTTAGCGCGGAAGTTGAATGAAGTAGATTTACCATTGACGAAGATCATGGAAGATACATTTTATATAGTAAATGAAGAAGTAAAGAAACGGGGGTATATGGATGGGTCAGCTGCTTTAGTAGTCTTAGTAACTCCATTTAAATATTGTGTGGCTAATGCAGGAGATTCCCGTGCACTTCTTATTAGATTTAGTTCAATGGAAGTCCTCTCCCATGACCACAAACCAACACATCCAGAAGAGTACAAAAGACTGCGGAAAGAACGGGGATTCGTCGACCCAAATGGAAGAACAAATGGAATGGCTGCGGTGTCAAGAGCAATAGGAGATATCGATTGTCAACCAGCACTAACGTGTTTCCCGGAAACATTACTCTTCGATCGGAAAGATAAAGACTTGGCTATCATCTTGGCGTGCGACGGAGTGTGGGACGTCATGTCAAATGAAGAGGTGTGCGATGTCGTAAGAGCAGGAAGTCTTGAAAAAGACCCCCCAGAAAGAACTGCTTGTTATATAAGAGACATCGCATATGCTAGAAACTCAGGGGATAATATCTCGTGTGTCGTGTGTAAGTTGGAATAATTTGTATGTCTGTTCCTGTGATTTTTAAATTAAATTACTACTGTTAGCGTTAAGTTAATTTGAATAGTTTTTTATAATTTTTTAATAATTTAAAAATGTTTTTTTTTATTTTTAAATTGTATAATAATTTTAATAATTTAATAATAATTTATTTTTTGAATAGTTTTAATAGTTTTTTAATAGTTTTTTATAATATTATAATTTTTAATAGTTTTGTTGTTACTATTTAAAACTATTTTAATCAGTTTCAAATCTTTTTTTATAAGAACCGAAAAAAATGTATTAAATATTATTTTTCATTAGCTACAAATCAAACTCTTATAAAAATGAAAGTGATTACTTAAAAAATCAAAATTTTTTAATTAAAGTTTGATTTTTTATCAAAATTAGTTAAATTATAATTATTTTTTAAATAATTTATAGTAAGTAATCATAAAAAAAAATACGATAATTAAAACTATTCAACTACAAAAGTATAGTATAATACAATGAGAGGGATTGTGATGATAATGTTAGTGGTGAGTCTATGTGGCGCTGTCCCAAGTGTTTCAAGTAAAAGTCCAAGTACTTCAAAAGATGGAGACGAAGAAGTGAAAATCAAATTTGACGAACAAACCGTGAAGGATATCGACAACACAAAATTGATGTACAAAAGCATGAAACTCAACAAGAAGGATTTAAAGAAGGATATCCCATTCTTTGAGAAGGTTAGAGAGAACGCAAAGAGACTGAGAAAAGTCGTGAAAGGAAGAAGAGAACTCGATAAAATCATTAATAAAAAACTCATTAAGGGGATTGTCAACTACTCAAAGAAAGCTCCATTCCAAACTACCCCAACAGTCAGCTCATACAAAAAACTCGTCAAAGCAAAAACGTCCGATATACTCCGAAAGTGATTTTTTGTTATTCGTCGTGTTATTGGAATTGTTCATTTAACACTTAAGATAACGCGCTTATTTTTGTTTTGGCCTATTTTTTCAGGGATATTAATCCAATCTTTGATGATTTTCCTTTTTTGGCTTGTGTATTTTTTATGCACAAAATATAATCTCTAAAAAACGGAAATTTATTTAATAAACTCGAGATTTCCCGATTTTTAGACCACTTGAATTTTGTTCAATGTTATTTAAAGTGCTAATAGTTTTGTTTACCATATTATTTAGAATCAAAATATGGTTTTTTATAATTGAATAATAATATTATTAAATAGTTCTTCTTTTATTAAAATTGATTAATATTTTAATTCATTCTAGAATACTTTGATCTTTTTTATTCATTTAAAGATATAGTTTATTTTATTATAGTTTATCAAAAATATATGTAATTAAACTTCAATTAAATAAATATTAAAAATAATTGAAAACTAAAAAAAAAAAAATATGGAAAACAATTGATTTTTAGAATTCTGTAAAATAAAAACTTTTTTTTTGTTTTTTCATACAAAAAGTGGACAATTTAAAAAATTGGTAAAAACAATTTCAGTTATAAATAAAATAATTCTGTTAAATCAAATTTTATATTTAGTCAAAGAATATATTTATACTATTTTAGTATAGTAAAAATTAGTACATTAAATAGTAAAACAATGATTATTATTTACCCCTTTTTACACAAAACAAACAAAAACATTATTTTTTTTTTATTATAATAAAAAAAAACGTCTGAAAAGGAGTGTTTTTTAAGACAAATTAGACTCATTCCAACCAAAGAATCACCCACGATTCAATAAAATACAATTGAAATCCCGAAAACAAGACGAATAAGTCCCTATGGAAGAATATGAAGGATTTTATTCTCAAAAGTTGTTGAATTAGAATCAGTATTGAATACAGACTTCCAATAGTACTTCAATAGTATATTTACCATACTTAATATAAAAAGAGAATAACTCAAACTGCAAGGGAATGGCAAACTAAAGAAGAAAGTAACACAACAATTTCGTTTTAATGACACTCATTTTATCCAAAAATTTCGAAGAAGTCTGAAAATTATTTTCAATCACAGAGAAATCCATTCTTTTGAAAACGTTCTCAAAATCTCATTTGATGTCGACAATATTAGTCAACATCTCTACTAAAGGCGCCACATTTAACCACCCCAAACGGAAACCTCTTTACTTTTCTTTCGCGAGTCAGGACTTCACTCAATTTTTTGATACAACGACTGTAGAGAAGAGTTATACTGCCAACGAGTTAATTGGGTTCATTCCTCTCCACAATGTTACTCTCTGTGTACTAGCGACGAGCTTTCCCTGCGCCGAGGTGTTCAATTGTATGATCCGGAAAGTCGAGAAGATCGAAGTGATTCCATTGCCCGAGCTCGACGACAAACAACTGCAGAAGCAATATGGGAAGTCCGATTTGAAACTCCAACAGCGCATTCAGAAGATGTTTGACGACTTTGAGTTGTACTATAGCCACGATGTTAACATCACTTTAACACAACAAAGTCTTTATAAAGACTCGTCTTATGTAGATAAGCGTTTCTTTTGGAACCAAAACATGGTTGCCGCACTTCCTAGTGAATGGGTGACTATCTTTGTCGACGGCTTTGTCGCGTCGACGGTCGTCGACAAGGTGAAGTACACACTCATCTCGCGAAGAGACTGTTCGAGGACTGGTCTCCGCTTTTCATCGCGCGGGGGCGACATCAATGGCAACGTCTCGAACTTTGTCGAGACCGAGCAAATAGTGGAGACCCATGATGTGATCACGTCGTTTGTTCAAGTCCGAGGGAACATCCCATTAATATGGAAAACTAATGAGGAAGACAAGTTCTCGCCGAAAGGGAAATTCTATCCGACGATTTATCAAGACTGGTGTGTGGCAAATCACTTTGAGAGTATGAATAAATTGTATGGAGATGTATTAGCAGTGAATCTGTTGGATAACCATGGCGCTGAGAAGGAATTGCATGATATGTATGGGTTCTATATTGGACTCAATGCACCACAGGTCAAGTACTTTGCGTTTGACTTCCACAAGGAATGCGCGAATTCTAAATATGAGAACGTCGAGAACCTTATTGCAACCATTTCTAGTGAATTAGTGAAACAGAATTGCTTTGTGAGGAACGGGAAGAACGAAGTGACACAAATACAGAGGGGGGTTGTGCGGACGAATTGTATTGACTGTCTCGACAGGACGAATGTGGTGCAGTCGTCGATTGCAAAGCAAATATTGAGCACACAGTGCATGGCACTGAACGACGAGATCACATTCTGCGACGAAATTAAGAACATCTGGGCGGATCATGCCAACGTCATGAGTAAAAGATATACAGGAACAAATGCGATGAAGACCGACTACACGAGAAGCGGCAAAAGAGGAATAAAAGGAATGATGTCTGACGGGAAGACCTCGATTCAAAGGACAATGATCTCAATACAAACCGACCAATACCAAACACCACAAGAGACACTCGATTTGTTACTTGGAAAGACGAGAATAGCAGAGAGCGAAAATTGTGAGTCCGTTGTGCTTTGCATACCACTTGCGTATGAAAATGACACGTCGATGAAAGAGTCTCAAACGCGCAAAGTGCATATTCATGTGACGAAAAAGGCAGTTAAAGTGTACTACGATGAGACCGGGATATGCTGGGAAGTACTACTTTCTGATGTTGTTGCGTGCGAAGCAACACACGACTTCGACAAAGTGGTGTTTTACACGAAGAAGACGTCGCTTCCGCGGAAAGTCCAAATTGGTGATCGGGACAAGATGTTCAGTTTACTCAATGAAGTCAGCAAGTTCAAATCTAAAAGTCGGCCGATTACACTAAGGAAGGGGCCTGTAGTCGATTGGAGTAACAAATCAAATAGAGTGATTGAACATAAAGTAGACCATCGGATAGAGGTGTCGATGATCAATTGGAATATGGAGTTTGTTGAGAGTGAACCGGACGAACAAATGATCAAGAATTGTGTGAAGAACAATCAGAAAGATATTGTAGTTGTTTCAGTGAATAAGTGTTCTTATCAAACGCAAGAGAACATCTTTGACAGTGTCTTTGACTTCTTCCAAAAGGTGTCAGTGGAGTTGAATAAAAGTGGGGAGATCTACGTCTTAGTTTCTGTCCATCATACATCAGATGTTGCGCAGTGTGTATTTGTGAAGAAGGTGAAGTATTGGAAGATTCATAGTGTTGAAGTGTCGAATGTGTTTTATGAAAAGAGTCGTCCGATTAAATACACCACATTGAAGAGTGTTGGTTCTGCTATATTCATGAAGATTAACGAAACGTCGGTGGGGTTTTTAGTGTTAGAAGAATACGAGAAGAGTGAGGAGAAAGGCCTTTATGTGAAGAACATTGATTTGCGAAGTGAAGTGAATGAACTCTTCATCTCCGTGTTTGACAGCCGCGATGAGATACCTGGTCTTGAGAAAGCGATACGGAAGACTAAAATAGTCCGCAAGAATGGGAGTGTCTTTCAAAGGAGTGTTTTCGACTTAAGTGAAGATACCGACACGACCACGGAAATAGTCTTAAGCGAAGGAAAAGAGAATTGTGTGCGTGTGAAGCCGAGTCCATTGTTTTGTTTGGGGTCTCGGTTTTCGATTGTTGAGAATGACAAGGAAGACTTCATCCAAAAGTACGTCTTCAAAGTCGAGAACATCGAAGCACTTTTCGAGACGAAAGTTGGGAGCGAAAAGGGCGTACAGCTCGAGTTGGTGTCTTCTGTCCTCACACAGACGGTAACAACTACTTCTCCACCTTCAAAGAACAAAAAGGCGTGTTTCCTTAACATTCTGCTTTCACTGTTTTGTGGAGACATCGATGTCAAGAAGAAGTGGATAACTGCACTTTTCTTTGAAAAGGATGTCGAGGTCGGCAGAGCAATTGTCCCTCTCAATTATTTACTTCAAAAAACACAGGAAGGAAAATGCCCAATTTATAGTGAAAAGCAGAAAATCGGAGATTTCCTTTTTGCTGTACAACGCACTTGAGCGTAGTCTTTGTTACATACATTTGTCTGTCTAATTCAGTTTTTATGTTGTTGGATTTTGTGCTATTCCATTTTATACCAGTCACTGTATGACGGGTATAAAATGTAGGGTGCGCAACCGAGAATTTTCTTATCAAAAATTAGTATCGAAAAACTCTAATAAAACGGGTCAATTTTTCTTCCCCGTTTTATTAGCTTTTTTAGATACTAATTTTTAATAAGAAAATTCTCGGTTGCGAAGCCTAATAAAATGGTCTAATTTAGTTTGTGTTATAGTTATTTTATTATTATATTATGGATTTTATTATTTTGTATTTTTTAATATAATTTTATTATAAATTGTAAAAAAGACTTAAAAATATATTAGAGCACAAGTTTTTTTATTCTTGATATTAATTGAGTGGTATAATTAATTATCTTCTAATATAATATATTATGAAAGTATAGTAAATGTATTATAATAAAATAATAGAACCCATTTTTACTATTGAGGATTGCATTTCAAAAAACGATGATTGTCCGCGCAATAAAATGTTTAAGATAAAAACGAGTGTTAATTAAACCACAGCTGAACGAAAATTACTATTTGAGTTTTTTAATGATCGAAAAAAAAAACTTAAAAAAAAGATGTCAAGGGGAAATAAGAACACCAACTTTATAGATAATTTTATGATGGTGACTGGTGCCTCGTTTGTTGCAAAGAATAATTAACAAATAACTCAATTGTTAAATAAAACTATAATCCTATCGATAATAATTATAGTAAAAATTATTTAATAAATTTACTATAATCCATCTCACGTGAAGAGAAGAAATGGCAGAGGAGTACAAAAGCAATTTTGACGATGTGAACAGCGCGGTGGACGCATTTTTCAATTACCCATTGAGGCTTTCGAACAAGAAAAGGCCGTCGAAGGGGGTGATCAATTGTGGCGGTGAATTTTTGAAAATATTTGAGAAACATTTGGGGGAGAAGACCCATTTGGACGGCGACGAATTGTCGCCGTTCATGAAAGAAGTCGGGATACCTGAAGATGGGTTCTACTTGTATGTGATGTCGTACCTTGGGGAAACGAAAGAGTTTGGGAATTTCAGTCAAATGCAGATGAAGGCGTTTACGGAGAAGATTGTCTTAACTGGTGCCTATCAAAAGGATATTGAAGACTATTTCAATAAGGAGATTCAAAAGCAGAACCACAAGTTTTTGATGTTTGTCCACCAACAACTGAAAGTCATGATATTCGCTTTAAACAAAGAACAAAACAAATTGGACACTATGACGGAGAAGCAAATGAATGTCTCTTTTCGAGTGAGAGAACAAGGGAAGACGGAGTTTGTAGATATGTTGAATGCTGTCTACCAAGACGTGTTACTCAGTGAGATCTACAATAGTCCCGTATTCCCCTTATTCTTAAACTTTGTAAAAGATGTTAAAAAAAGGCTTTCAATATCAAAGGACGAGTTCTCGTATATCACCGACTTCATTCGCGAATTTAACACAATCAAAAAGCTTAAAATATCACAAGACGTGATCGATGAGAAAGTCTACTTACCGCAACTCTATCAAGACTTCTTGGAGTTTGTCAATACAAAACCTTCTAAGAAGTGATTTATTTGACTTTGAAAGTAATATTTGAGTATTATTTTATGTTAAACGGCACTTACAACGTGAATATTATTAATTAATATAAATAGTAATATAAATAGTAAAAGAAAGTAACACTTTATAACTCAATTTGTGTTCCATCAACATAAACTTGTGCTATGTTCCTCGAGTCGCCTTGTAATATGAAACGCTCGACCATATCCTCCTGAGTGTTCCAGTCGAATAAATCGATGTTAGTGTTGTCCTTAGTCAAGTCGATTAAGAGCGCATCAAACTTTTTGCCATTTTCAAAGCTTCCGATCTGTTTGTCTAAATTCAGACATTTCGCGCCACCCATTGTCGCCATATATAAGACATCCCCAAAGTCGATTTGTGCGTCATTGTTTGTGATGGAACTAATGTTGCCGACTAACATGGCCATTTTCATCACTTCGATCATAGAAGGAGAATACCCCCCAGCAACATCCGTCCCCATCCCGATCTTGACACCCATTTGATACAACTTTTTGAATCTAAAGAAGCCGGATTTCATCGACAGATTGGCTACTGGGCAATGGATTAAGCAACTTTCATGGTTCTTGATCACTTCTATCTCGTCATCACTTAAATGAATTGAATGCGCTAATAGAGTCTTGGAAGTTAAACAGCCAACCTTCTCATAGACGTCAGTGTAATTCTTGCAGTCGGGGTACATCTCTGCGATCAACTCACACTCTTGTGTATTTTCACTGAGATGAGTTTGTATGAAGATATCTTTCTTTGAAGCTAAGGCACTTAATTGACTCATCAATTCAAGACTGCATGACACTGCGAAGCGCGGAGTCACGATAGGACGAACATATTTATAATTCTTGGAGAGAACAGTGTCCACAAAAGTCTCGGCGTCTACAATGGAATCTTCAGTAACCTCACAGAGATCGTTGGGAATCATTTTGTCTTGACACACTTTGCCTACAAAGGCTCTTTGATGGTTTGTTTCACACACATCGGCAAGGATCAAGTCCGTGGAATTAAAAATAGTGCCAAAGTACGACGCAGTAGTTGTACCATTCTGCAGTGTTTTTAAAACAACTTTGGTGTACAAGTCTCGTGCCAAAGACTCTTCCTTGCACTTCCGCTCCGCTGGAAACGCAGAAGCCTCCAACCACTCCATCAACGGCTTTCCAAATTGTGTGGCGACTGTTGCGTATTGAGGCGCGTGGATGTGACAATCAATGAAACCAGGAAGGAAAAACTTTCCTTTAGGGATTTCTATGACGTTCTCAGTGTGCGTGTTAGGTGGGAGTGTGTCACCAGTGTAAGTTATAATACCAGTGGAGTCGACCGCCAAATAGATGTTTTGAATGTGAAGATGACCGGCGTATGGAGCATCAACAAACATACCATGATACACTCGTTGGGATGACATAATAATACTGTTGGAGTGAGTTCTGGACTTTATTAAAAGCCAAAGGGAGGTTTGGTAAAATAGAAGAACAAACGAATTAGAAGTTTCTTTTCTTGCCTCTTTATTTTTGTTTTGTGCACCGAACAATTCAGCCTTCTTCTGTTTTTTGTCTATAGAATTTTATTAATAAACTGAACAGAATTATACTAATATGCTGTATTTGTTGATATCGGAGTTGATGTTTTCAATGTATGTCGTAAAAATTGTAAATTGTTTTCCTTTATAATGTCCTGTTTGGCTTTGAATTATCTTTTCTCTTTTTTATTGAATTATGTCGCAATAGATAACCAAAATTATTATGTTTTTTGTTCTTAATTTGGGAGAAAATTAGTTTGTCCAACAATTTACAGATAATTTCAAAGTTAAGAGGTCAATTTAATAATCCCGTTTTATAGTGACATTTATAGTAACAAAAAATATCAAAATGATAATTCTTATTTTATCATTTATTTAACACTCTGATACAATGAATATTCTCTTTGCTATATACAAAACTATTATATATATTATATTTAATTATATTAAATCAGTCTAATTATTATCTCTAACCTAAAACTTGAAATAATAATCAAATTATAATTTAACTATTTAAATAGTTTTGTCAATTTATTAAGTATTTATAAAAGTTTTAAGTTGGGCAAAGTTTAACATATGGCTGAAATTGTAAAAACCTAATTTTAATTTTACTACCAATTTGGTTTCGTATTATAACTCGATACTAAAAATAAATCAAGTTAAAAATACGACTTTCATTTTTAACAATTATCATTTTTTGTTTAAAACAATTATTAAATTATAAATCATACCAAATATCAAGTATTAAAATTAAACAAAAAAATACACAGACTAAGTATTTTGGAAGTTTTTTTATTTTGTTGATGGAAAATTGAATCATTACCTTATAAAACTCAAGGGTTTTGTTATTCCCATAACCGGCATTAATATAATGTATACTTATATATATTAATAAATTTTAGTTAATTATATTATTCTTTTTAATATTGATTATTTTTGGGATACAGAAACTGAAATATAAAACAAAAAAATATAATTTATTCATCTATAGTGACCTGCTAAAAGCAATAAAAATATGACAAATGGTTTAAAGAAACTATAATTTATTATTTTATATTATAATTATAAAAAACAGTAACAATAACACAAATAACATTAAAAAAGTAAAAAACAAAAAAATTAATCACATTGAATCAATTTTTGTCAAGCTTTTTAATTGGTTTAAAAACGACGGCAATCTTAAAACAAGTTTTCCTTTTTCTTATTTTCTTTTTGGTCCTTTAATGCTCTTTTTACTTCCCTTTCTTTTTTTACTTAATTTGGAAAAAAGTACTGTTGTCTTTCTTTTCTTTTAATGCAACGGAATTGGTTTTAGAATAAATTGTTTAAACAATTCTCTGTATTGGGGTGTTTCCATAAATATACAACGTTCAATTGATACACGACATTAATTGAATATCGTGTATTAATTGGGGTGTTTTGTCGATCCAGTTGACTGTTACAGCTTGTTTGAAAAACATAACATTAAAAAGAGGTGTTGTAACAACAAATAAAGAATCTACCAATATCATTAACTCTCTTAGTCTGTTTCCGAGTTCAATATTATAAAAAATTATTTTTTTTCAAAACAAATTACCATCCACATATTCCTTCTCGACTTCTTTTTTAAAAGCAAGTTTACAAAACTGTCTTTCGCTTTAAAAAAGACATTCTTCTTTTAAGCTTACCAAATATCCCCAAATCAACAACTTGAAGGAAATGAAAAGCATACAGAAATAAGCTAACAATGGTTATGTTATTTTCAGTAAGCAACACGATGAATTTGATACATCCAAAGAATTGGTTGAATTGTCGAAAACCATTGCAATTGCAGGTTTGGTCTTTTTTGGTATTCTCCAAATAAATGCACATGTACAGCTTTAACCATTAAAATAGATTTTCAGTTCACCTTTAATCCATTTTGATAATGTATTATAATTAAGTAAAAGTTTAGTCTATTTTGAAATATTTGCAATATAAAGAAATAAATGTCGAATTGAAACACAATCTAAAATTATAATTTTAAAAAACTATAATATGGTTTCTTTAGACCTTGTCGGAAATTTATACCTTTTAGCAGGTCACTATAAATACTATAAAACATGTTAAAAAATTAAATAACATTTTAAATAACTTTAAACTTGATTCGAGTGGTTTAATAATTGGGAAATCTCGTATTTATTAAACATTTTTCCTTTTTCAAAAAGTTTATTATTATAGTAATAATACACAAGTCATAAAAAGAAAAACAATAAAAACGCTTATATATCTTATTAAACTTAAAGAAGTATAAATATGTTTTATAGCAGAATAAAACACATTATTTTTTTAATAAAAAAATTTTTAGTCTTTTTAAAAACACCTAAATAAAAATTTCTTGCATATTTGTTAAAATTTAAATATTGCCACTACCCAAGTGAATGTTACTCCTCCACATTCAAACAGTGTGAATACATTTTTATCAAATTTGAAAAAAAAAGAAAACACAAGATATGAATTTTTGAAAAACGTTACAGTTAGTTTCACAACAATTCCTTATTTTTCATAACAAATAGATTTCTGTTTCATAACAATTAGATTTGTACCTTTGTTCAGCCCTGTTTCAAAATAATTATTTTTTGTTGCACAATTTGCGTGATTGTTGCATAATTGGCATTATTGTTGCACATAAATATCGGGTGTTTCAGAACTATTTATTTATCCTCAAATCAATAATTTATTGTTCCAAAACAAAAAGTTGTTTCATAATTATTGTCTATTGTTTTAAAATAATATAGGATTATTGTATAACCGCATTGTATTGTTTCACAACAAAAATAACCAAAATAAATTCAAAAAATGGTAAACTGTAAAAACTACACTTTTTAATAAAATTTGTTAATTATAAATAGTTTTACAGTTATCATTAAATAAAAATTGTTTAACCAAATAAAAAACTTAATGTAATTATAAGTCTTCACGTAAAAACACTTTACGAGTCACTACTTCGCTTCTTCCATCATATTTTTGTTCTTGATATTAAGACACATCGTTGACACATTAACAACTTCATTATCAAGTTCTTCCACCTTTCCAGTTTTCCCATTTCTTCTTCAACAAGAGTCTTGTTGGTTTCTCCGAGAGTCTTACTTCAATTGACACTTTTAGCGACCACAGAAAAAAGTGCTGAACTATATTTAAACTTTCTTCCTTTTTTTGTTTTGATATATTTTCTCCTTTTGCCAACTGTCCCAATAACCTCTTAAGTGATGACTCACCAATGCGGATTTTCTCTTTATAATACTTCCAGTCTCGTTCCTTACCATGTTCAATATATTCTTCTGTTAGCGTCTTCCTCTGTGTTTCTGTTACAACGACGTATATCCTTTTGATCTTTTCCTCCTCCGAATGTTGGGCTGTGTGAACAATTGACGAAGGCGCGAGTGGGACCAACGAAACGACAATATCTTCAGCTAATCTTCTTTCTGTTATTTCGAGTGGTTGTGGTGCTTCTGCAACTGGGGAAACCTCTTCGTGGTTGAGGAATCCATCGACTTCATCTCGGTGGATGAACTCAAAAGAAGTGATTGCCATTACTTTATTTTTTAGTTTTCAGTTTACCATTTTTTGAATTTATTTTGGTTATTTTTGGTTATTTTTGTTGTGAAACAATACAATGCGGTTATACAATAATCCTATATTATTTTAAAACAAAATACAATAATTATGAAACAACTTTTTGTTTTGGAACAATAAATTATTGATTTGAGGATAAATAAATAGTTCTGAAACACCCGATATTTATATGCAACAATAATGCCAATTATGCAACAATCACGCAAATTGTGCAACAAAAAATAATTATTTTGAAACAGGGCTGAACAAAGGTACAAATCTAATTGTTATGAAACAGAAATCTATTTGTTATGAAAAATAAGGAATTGTTGTGAAACTAACTGTAACGTTAATTAAAATATAAAACAAAAAAGATTAAATTATCCATGGAAATAAGGGAATTTTATCGATATTATCAACAAAAAGGCGATGGTTGGTGAAAGGGAGAGGGCAATGGAATGGTTTTATTCATTTTAGTAAATAATTATAAATGAATTTATTAAACACTGATCTCATTTATAAACGAAAGTTAAACAAGGACACTTAATAACAACACATGTATAGTAAATATTATGACTGTGAAAATCGTGCGCTTATAAAGCGTTTGTCATGAAAGTCACAATTTCTAAAAACACCGGAACCCTTTTTGTATAAGCTCGAGGGTTTCTAGTAGTTTTAAGGATTGATTTTTCAGTCTAATAGATTTCTTTAAATACCCTCTGAAAACCTATCAACTAGTATATCTTAATTATTAATTTATAATTTAAATTATAAAACAATTAACATTATTAAAAAAGTAATAATTTAGTTTAAAATTATACAAAACCAATAAAAAGTCATTAAACAATTATAAACAAATTGTTTCAATAATAACAATTGGATATTTTAAAAATATTTTGGATGATTGTTAAAAAACATACAGTTGGAGAAATAACCTGTCAACCGGAACTAACCTGTCAGCCATTTTTTAAATTCAATTTATGGTATTTTAACCATTAATTTGTCTTTTTTAGATTATTCAAGTTCAACAAAATCAATAACAAAAAGCAATGAACAAATGAGATGTTTTCTTCGAATTTCAAAAACGAAAAAAAAGCCGAAAAAAACTTCAAAAAATTCCAAAATTTGTCCTCATTTCACCAAAAAGAGTCATCGTTTTATAAAACATTTTCTTTTTTACTTGGTTATATTTTCTTGATTTTTTTTAGAAAATGTCTTCTCGTATTGAATCACTTTCAAAGTCTTTACCAAAAAGTTAAAGTGGAAGATATTCAAATCCCCCAAAA